CTCAGTTCTGTTGTTAGCAGTGGGGTTCTCAACCTGAGTAGGGTGTCAGAAATAACCAGAAGAGCTTTTGAGAAAAACAGGTACCTTTATTTATAGACAAAGCATCAAGAAGCACATGCAAACTGGTGGCCTTTCTTGGTCATTTGGGACATGCTATTTAAAATATGCATAAGGGGCCATTTTTCACTCCTTGGCTGGCAAAAATGAAAAGCATGATCTTGCCTGGTTCTGGGGAGGACCCAAAGAGGTAAATACTCCCAGCACTGAGGGCAGGATGGAGATTGATCCAACCTCTCAGCAAGGCAAGCGGGCTGAGGCCTGTACAGTTGTGGAGGTGTGACGTCTACTGACCTCTACAGCCAAGCCGTGGGTGTGTAATTAGCCCTACTAGTACTTGGTGTAAATAAAAATGATGTTTATGTTTGTGGCAAGAAACAACTTGAACACTGTTCAGCTTAAAATGAATAGATCAATTCTGGTGCATCCTTACCATGGTCTGTACCACAGTGGGTAAAATGCACAAGTTCGGCATCAACCCAGATGGGGTGCGAACATGTTACCTTCAGTGAAAATGGAATGTCATGCATAATCAGATGACAGCCTGTGTTCCCCTGCTTTGCAGGTCTCCTCATGGGCACAGAAGTGGCCCTCCATCCCCGCAAATGGGAGGACAATGGGGAGATGGTGTCCCTTCCGCAGATGACCATTGCCAGCCCTTTAGGCCCAGAAAGAAGAATAGCAGCCTGGGTGGGCAGAGGTTGGGGGGACATAGGAGGCTGCATCTTGCCTGAAGCCCTTTTGACATGACATTCTTGGTGGGGTGTCGACCTGGCCGTGAAGTTAAGTTCCCTCCTTGGAGCCTGTATGTGGCCTGTAGTCATGGTGATATGCCTGGTGGGGCACAGATGTGCCCTCAGCTGCAGCATTAAGAGATCTCTCTAGATCCATGGTTCCCACCCCCCAGGCCATGGACCAGTCTGTAGCCTGTTAGGAACAGACCAGTGAGCGGAAGGTGAGCGGTGAACCAGCAAGTGAAGCTTCATCTGTATTTACAGCCACTCTCTACTGCTTGCATCACTGCCTGAGCTCCACCTCCTGTGAACCCCACTACAAACTGGGAAGGATCTAGGCTGCCATTCTCCTTATGAGAAGCTAATGCCTGATGGTCTGAGGTGGAGCTGAGGGGTGATGATGGTGCTGGTGAGCAGCAGCACATACAGGTTATCATTAGCAGAGAGTCTTGACTGCACAGAGACCATGATAATTCAATTGCTTGCAGACGCTTATCAAAACCATCCCCCTCGTCCCTAGAGAAATTGTCTTCCTTGAAACCGGTCCCTAGTGCCAGAAGAGTTGAAGACCACTGCTCTAGATAGAAGCCTGTGACACAGTGAGTGACAAGAGCAGACACTGGTACTGCTTGCTGGTGCATGGGAGGGGGTTGCAGGGAGACCTGGTAAGCAGGCAGTCTCTCTGTCTTCACCTTGTTCAATCTTTAAGTGACTCTGCTTTGTGCCCAAACCCAGTTTCGCAGTCCAGGGGAGAGTGATGAAGACTTGATAAAGAGGGAAAGAACAGCCTCCCGTTCTCTGTTTGAGAGACCCCGGGCAGTTTCTCCTTCTGCTTTGGCTGGTAACCACCCTTCCATCCTTGGGGTGAGGCTCCTTGACCCAGTGGTAACACAACCTGGGCTTGGGCTGGAGTTGTGGGCTCAGTGATAGGGGCTGGGTGGCCACTGTTGCCTGTGGTCTAACCTCCTCTTACAACACTCTGTGTGGGGGCCAGAAATAGAACATCTCCAAAAAGGAGCTTGGCGAGATTGAAGGTTTCAGACAGAAACATTTCATGTCCCTGCCCTGGTGAGCAAGAAGGCCACAGTACTTTATATGAAAAAATAACAAAGTGTCACTTGGTGGGAAATTCATCCTCCATTTTTTTTTTTGAGACAGAGTCTAACTATGTTGCCCTCAGTAGAGTGCCATGGCATCACAGCTCACTGCGACCTCAAACTCTTGGGCTTAAGCAATTCTCTTGCCTCAGCCTCCTGAGTAGCTGGGACTACAGGCATCTGCCAAAATGCCTGGCAATTTTTGTTGTTGTTGTTGTTGTAGTTGTCATTGTTGTTTAGCAGGCTAGGGCTGGGTTTGAACTTGCCAGCTCCAGTGTATGTGGCCGGCGCCCCAACCACTAAGCAACGGGTGCCCAGTCTCATCCTCCATTTTTTTTTTTTTTTGGCTAGGGCTGGAGTTGAACCTACCACCTCCCATATATGGGGCCAGCGCCCTACTCCTTTGAGCCACAGGCGCTGCCCCTCATCCTCCATTTTTGAGGGTTTCTCTCCTACCCAGGCACTGTCCATGAATCGTAGGCAAGGCAAAACATTTACGGACACTCCCATGAGTTCTGTTCATCTCAGTTCCTGAATGTAGCTTCTCCCATCTCTCAAAGTGTGTCCTTCCCAGGGCTGGGGCAGCAGGCCTGGAGGAGTCCGCTTCAGCCACTACACAAAACACTCACTCTAGGGGCTTGAAGAACAGGTCGATTCTCTCCCTGACTGGAGCTGGAAGCCCAAGATCAAGGCATTGCGGGGTTGGTTCCCTGCTCCCCACCCCTCGCAGATGCTGTGTTCCGTGTCCCCACGCAGTCATCCCTCTGTGTCTGTCTTTATTTCCTCTTCTTATGGGAACGCCAGTCCTTATGGAGTAGGGTCCACCAAAATACCCTCTTTTACCTTAATCTCTTCCGAAAGGCTCTGTCTTCAGATGGAGTCACATTATGGATGAGGAGCAACCAGCCTTGCAAACCGCAGCCCTGCCCCTCCCTCCTGGCTCTGGCCCTCTCCTCTCAAAAACACGCACCCCCCCACTTGCAGCAAAGTGTTCCCAGAGCTGCAGACTCTCCAGAAGGCGGTACAGCAGGGAGGAAGGGACATGCAGCTGAGTCTGCAGTTCTCCCTCCCTGTTGCTTTCATAGCTTTGAAACCATGATAGGACATACTCCCTTGGTGACAGTGCCACCTGCTACACATGGGTCCATGGACCTGTCCTTGCCTTGGAAGTTCTCAGAGATGTGTGGGTTCAGAGGGGCTAAAAAGGGGATGGATCGGGGCCATAAGGACGTTTGTCCTGATTTGGTGACTCAGCACCCCAGCCCCTTGGGGAATACTGCCTTAGGGGCTTGGCAGAAGTAGGAACTTGCTAGCCTCAAGTAGTCTCCTTCCTCTCTCCGCCAGTGAGGGCCTTTCACAACCCAATCAACCCATGGGAAGGATGGACTGTGCTGGGAGCCTGGGGAGCAGAGGTGGGGCAGGGGGCCTCCTTGGTTATATTGTAGGCTCAGAAGCATCCAGGTCATTGGCACAGTCGGTGGCTGCTGTGGACACATCTGGGTCCTGGGCATGTGTTCCCTAAAAAGGAGATGGTGTGACAACTCCCTCTTCTCTCACCCTAGGAGGACAATGTGCCCCTGGGACCCACTTCCACAACCCAATCAGGACAAGTGCCCAAATTGAGCCCCCAAATCAGGATAAGCATCCTTGTGGCCCAGCTCCATCCCCTTGTTAGCCCTGGGCCTCCTTTTGTCCCCCACATCTATCACAGTCACCCACCAGCACTCCTGAGGTCCCAGGCCACATTTCTTGGCCACCCACCCTGAGCAGACCCCAAGGAAGACCACACTGTCCCTTCTGGCAGCTGTAGGTAATAACGTGGCCCCTGGAAGGCTGGGGCCCAAAGTTCCCATGGCCTCCTCATGTTTAGCCTCATCCTGGGTGCAGGGTGTCATTCCTGGTGCTGACTCTGGTCTGTTTTGCCCTGCCTATGATTCATGGACAGTGCCTTGGTAGGAGGGAAACCCTCAAAAAATGGAAGATAAGGTTCAATGCCCTTAGCTTAGTGGTTGGGGCACTGGCCACATACACTGGGGCTGGGGCTCCAGACCCTCAGGAACTGTTGCCTGGAAGAGCAAGGCTGTGGGATGGGGCAGGTTGGCTGCAATGCCCAGCTCACTCTTGTCACTATGGGGATGCTTCCTTGCCACATGGCCATAAGCCCCTGCTTTGGGCTTGTCCTTCTTCCTCGTGTTTATTTCCCTCTCTAGACTTCATGGTCACAGCCCAAGTTCATCTCTAACAGGACAGGTTTTTTTTTTTTTTTTTTTT